CTAGAGCCTTTTTTAGTTTTTCATCAATGTTCCAAAGTATTTCCTGTTTACAGAAATGTCATTTATCCAGGAGCAATAGAAAGCTATCAAAGTCCACTTCAATCTTTATTTAACATTGAGTTTAAGAAATACATAGTTCCCTATGCATAATGATAAGCGCATACAATATCAAAAAAATATAAATGCATGATAATTATATAAAGGCCTTCATTGGTAGAAGATATGGAAATATAGAAAGTAATTTTGAAAATTTAGGCGAAATGTATGTCTTACTGTAAAAGAAGTATATAAATATATGCAGTGTTGTATATGTATATTTATTATATACTTAGTAGTAAATACAGATAAGTTGTATGTGTAATACAATCACTGGCAAGCGTGCTGTATCAGCCACCCGTGATGATATCGATATCAGCACGGTTGCAAAGGCTTTATCAAACCTTTAATCTATATGACATCACGTCATCGATTGCAGTCACTGTTGCAAAGGCTTTATCAAACCCCTAATCTGTATGACGTCATGTCAAACCTCTTATCTGTATGACGTCATTTCAACCCCCCTTATCTGTATGACGTCATGTCACATTAAAGACATCTACGTGAGGTATATGTATATAATAAAGTGTATATGATATGGCTTTTTCAATATCACACACCGTATTAACCCTCAACCAATATAATTCCTCGAGCAGAGCTCTTGGGATTATATTGCTGTCTCGGGTTGATACGGATGTGATATTGAAAAAGCCATATGTTATTCTCTATATATTTTAAAATACGTCTAAACATCAGCCCAACAATGTTAGGTCTGTAAATTTCCTCTTGCAAATTTTTTGTTCTTCCCTCACCGGGATTCGAGCTCCTGATATATCGTGGCACCAAATCGCCTTGCACTATGCCCGACGCACTAGACCACTCGACCACCTAGGCTCTACAATAATAAAGCTTTCGGTGGCCGGATGTTACTTTTCCTTGTCGTATATTTTAAAATATATATACATATACAACACTGCATATATTTATATGCTTCCTTTAGAGTAAGAAATACATTTCGCCTAAATTTTCAAAATTACTGTTTCTTATTTGTTTTTATCGATTAAATCAAATCCATTCAATTCAAATTTTAGATTAAAAGCTAGAGCCTTAGTTTAAATTGGAAATTGTTTAGATCATTAAGAGCTACAAAATAGTCTTGTGGGCAAAACTTTCAGATTTTGCTTCTCTTAAAATACCCAAATTTGCAGATTTTCGCATATTTTTGCTTATTTATTGAAAACTATAGGCCCCAGGTTTGTTTGAACATTTTTTTCTTTTTTATAATATACACAAGGTCAGTAACTCGATAAATCAAGAATATGGTCTTCGTTTTCTCGTTGTATTTTATTTATGTATAATTAAATTAAGAATGGAAATGGGGAATGTGTCAAAGAGACAACAGCCCGACCAAAGAGCAGAAAACAACTGAAGGCCTCCAATGTGTCTTCAATACAGCGAGAAAATCCCGCACCCGGAGGAGTGCTTCAGCTGGCCCCTTAACACAAATGTATACTAGTTCAGTGATTATGGACGTCAAACTTAACTCCGAAATGTATAATAGAAACTTAAATCAAAAAGCATACAAGACTAGCAAAGGCCAGAGGCTCCTGTATTGGGACAGGCGCAAAAATGCGGCGGGGTTAAACGATGTTTTGTGGGTTCTCAATCCTCCCCCTATACCTTTAGTCAATGTAGAAAAAACAAACACACATGCAGCAATACGCACAGTGAAACACAGTTTAAAAGAAGTCCGAGTCCGATGTCCGAATAGGTAACAAAAGAAACTAAACAAAATGACAATGATACATAAACGTACAAAAGAATACTAGCAGTTACTGACATGCTAGCTCCAGACCTCAATTAAATTGTCTGAATCAACATCTTAAAATTTTCAAAGGTATATTCCAGGTTCTTTAAAACGAACCATAAACCGACATTTTACATGTAATAATAAAAAAGTAATGCTATGAAACATCTCATAATTTGAACCTATTTACCGAGGTTGGATAACTATCGGTCAGCACCGGTTAACACCACTGGGGGATTAATCGAACATTCTTCATTTCGCGCGCTTCAGATGGATGACAAACCTTGAAAGACATTAAACAGGCTTATTTTTTTTTTGCGCTGGCAGTTTGATCCGCTTGCTTGATATGTCAATTTCTGTTTACATTGATTGATGTTTGCTTAACGTCCAGTTGCAAATATTTCATGCATAATCAAGACGAAAAGAAGAAAGCAACAGACCAGGAAAGCCGATCGAATTGCCGGTGCAAAAATGTAATGTCGTTAAAGTTTTGTATCAATCTGTAGCTGCAGCGAAAATGCGTAGAACTGTCGATTTTCAATATAGGTTCCAGACACGCTTGAAATAGTATATATATCTGTAATATACAAGAGGTCGGACAACTATCGGGGAGTGTTTGCTAAATCACTGGAGGATCAATTGACAGTTACAGTAACTCCTAACGACAAAACCATTATATTTATATTTTCCTGTGTACATTTTTTTTATTACAATAACGCCAATTTGTCCCAGGAAAGAGTTGTCTTATTAATTCTCTTACTACATCTCATTTATTACGACCTCATGTATATTAAAGATATATATATATATACTAGTTCAAGCTAGCCTAAGACATTTAAAACTTAATGTTAGATAAAGGTTAAAATGGACTTTGTTAGCTTTCTATTGCCCCTGTATAGATGGCATTTTTGTAAACCGGGAACCTTTTATTTGTTACATGGACGACTAAGATAAGCGTAAACAGGAAATATTTTGGAATAATAATAATAAAAAAAGGCTCTCGCTTTTAAAAATATTGTCAAAATTATAAAAAAAAATGAGAAAATTGCAAATTAAGGGCCATAGCTCTGAAACGAATTTTCCGATCAACCTGAACTTAAATTTCAACAGAGGCAGATCATAATGTATTGATCAATTTTACTCTCTGCTAGATTTTGATATCTGTAGAATTTTTGAGTTATTTGAAAAAAGGTGCCATAACCCCACCTTAACTATATAATGATATCGAGATAACGACATAATTATATCGAGAAAATTATATAATTATATCGAGATAACGAAATAAATATATCGATATAACGATATAAATATCGAGATAACGAGATAAATATATCGAGATAACGATTTAATTATATCGAAATAACGATATATATATTGAGATAACGAAATAAATATATGGAGATAACGATATAATTATATCGAGATAACGAAATACATATATCGATATAACGAAATACATATATCGATATAACGATATAAATATCAAGATAACAAGATAAATATATCGAGATAACGATTTAATTATATCGAAATAACGATATATATATTGAGATAACGATATAATATTATTTTTTTGTAGGTCCCCTCTGGGCTTCCGTACCAATAGCCCTCATCCGAGGTCATCAACAAAAGCCTAGATTTTGGTTGTTAAACTATTGTCAGAAAGTTCACTGCAATAAAGAGCTAGGCAGAAGTTATTGCTTCAATATTCATGATTTTTTTGTTTCACAATTGACTTTGGTCAGAGGTAATAACAAATCAATATAATACATTGTAGAAAACAGGTATGTTGGTATAGGGAGATGTAACCAATTAACACATGACAAAGACATTGAAAATCTGCCTCTTGTTCTACATCTGAGGGAGGGATAAAGCAAATTATAATTTTCAAGTCAAATTCAACTTTTGTATATGGACATCTGGATAAGGCTTTACCGAAACAACTTCGGTCAATTATAAGGAATATATGTAACAACAAATCTTACAAGGTTATCCTTACATTTACAATAGAGATTAAATTAAGGAGTCTATTTTACACTTGGTTTTATATTTGTTACGCATGAATGTACAGATAAGCAACCATGATATGCACATTTTCTTAGTATAGAGTGTACACAAGGAAGCTCGCTTAATTATGCATATGTTAGCATGCCTTTTAAATATAACCCCAGTATGCTTATGCATGAAAACCTCGTCATTATATGCTTAGAGGTTACCCAATATTATGCTTTATATATACTTTTATCACAGCATGTAACTGGAACTTTGAAAACTTGAAATGAACCCATGCCAAATGTTGTTTTTTTTTAAAGATGTTTTTCAATGTTAAATTGAAATATAAGTTTTAAAAAATGTGATGGTTTGTTTGAGTGATCAAAGTTCTACTATAGTATTTGTAAGAATGGTACATTGTGATACAAAATGTGATGGTTTGTTTGAGTGATCAAAGTTCTACAATAGTATTTGTAAGAATGGTTCATTGTGATACAAAATGTGATGGTTTGTTTGAGTGATCAAAGTTCTACAATAGTATTTGTAAGAATGATTCATTGTGATACAAAATGGTTTTCATAAAGGGATAGATATAGTTTTCAAGTTAAAAAGAAATGTCTCCAAATTATTGTAATACCAGTTATTGAACTAAAACCAACAACCATGAGCTATATTAACTTCTGTGAATATTAGATTGTTTTGACTATTGTATCATATTGTCCATCATTCTTACAATGAGTGCCACTTTCACAATTTCCCCAGAATCCTGTTTGTTACTTTATAAACATGATATGTTATTCACATAAACTAAATATTTTTGTTATATCTTTAAATCTGATTTTAAGAAAAAATACTAGTCTATGCTGAACATCATTATGTTATATAATTATAAAATTTTTAAAAATTAAAATATATAACTTTATGAGTATGTTACTAATTTATCCATTTTTATTTAAAGCCTTTATGTATATTAGTATATACACATTCAAAGTTTGCAAAAAGATTTTTTTTTTAAGTTTGAATGATTTGCTTATGAATATGTATAAAGTTTTATTACATAGTTTCACTATTTAACTTATGATATTTTTTTGAACTAATGTTTTTTTAAAAATGCTTCATTTATATGTTTACTCTATGTGAAGATGTTTGCTTCTTTTTTTTTAAGATAGCAGATGTGAGAAGTGATTCAGAAGATGGAAAAGATGAACTAAGCGAAGGTGAAGATTATAAAGGCATTCTTAATAATGTCAATGACAATAGTCCCAGGGTAAGGTCAAAGTTCAGAGGAGACAAAGGTCATCAGTGACGTAATTACTGTAGAAAAGATCGATGTTAGAATGTTTCAATAGGGAATTCTTATCTAACTTCCTAACTAACGTAATATATAGATTTTTAAGTCAAAGATAATCAGACAGCTCCATGGTCCAAAGAAAAACACTGCACATAAAACCAGAGATTGACTGACACTAATCCCACAAAATCAAATGAGTTCAAGTGCTTCAGAAGAGTAAGCAGTTCCTGCTTTACTTGTTGCAGTCATTGTGTTTCTCATGGCAAGTAAAATTCTGGTGTTTGGTGTCTAGGTGTCCATTACAAATGCATTTTAATAATATAAAAATAATGATATTTATTAAACACAAAACAGTAAGAACTTGACAAAAACAGAGATTCAGTACAGTGAAAATATTTAGAAATTAAAACTAATGAAAGTATACTTGCCCAGTTAGACTAGTTTGAACAGAATTGCCTAATACCACAGGATAAACCTCAAAATAGGTTAGGCTTATTTGTAGTGGGGATGCTAACATAGTTATGTAGCTTCTTAAGAATTCTCTAATGACAAGGTATGTTAAATTGAACACAGGCTAACATAGAATTTTTCTAATTTTAGTTTTTTATATATTCATAGGGTTGCTTTTGATGCTTAGACTGTTATAAACAGGAATATAAATGTATGTATAATGTGGGATATTTTTACAATTTTGTACCTCAAAATAGTTTTTTACATGTATAGTTTATTTAAATTACTGAAATAATTATAGAATGTTAGAATGAAGACCTTGACTTTTAAGTTTTCTTTTCTTTTCATCTATGATGAATTTGAACTTTTTATGACCTCACACAAAATGGGTAAGAGGAACCATGATCCCATCATCATTCTCTATTGTGTAAATATTATTATATTCGTTACAGATTAAGTTTTAGAAAGGCAACCAAAATTTGACAATGCTATTGGTATGTTTTTGTTTTCAGTTTTCTAATACCAATATGCATTTTCTCAGGATTTGTCAACTGACCCCATTGGTATTTAGGTATAACTTGCTTTCAAGTTTGATAAAATGAGAGTTGTTTTCTTTCCACTTTTTCTTTTTATTGAGCATTTGCCTCCAAGTTAGTTTTGCCTGGTACTTCCATGTCCAGTGTAAGTATTGATACATATTAGTATTACTCAGATTTTGTATAAAGGAATACTATGATATTTGGTCTAAAACTTTACAGTAATGAGTTGTACCATTAAGCCATTTTCAGATCTGTTTCTGAACAGTCACTTCATATTTGATGATGCTTTGAATTTTATTATACCTACTGAGCTGAATCTGTACTTATTAGCTTTGATTTTTAATTTTTGTTAAGATCACCAACAAGATGTAATACTCTATACCAATGCAGCAATGTCACGTTGTTCATGTCCATCCACATCAATTTATCTTTGAGTGCATATGACCTCAATAACTACTCCATTGTTTTGTAGGCATTTTTAAAAAGAATTTTTTAACTACTTCATGCAAAATCATATTATGCCTTAAGAAACATTGCTGATAAAAAGAACAATGACATTTTATTTTTATATACTGACTTCATCAATTAGAATATCAGCTAACCCTAGCTGGCTTACTCGACTATTATTACTGATAAATCAGTATCAATAACCAAAGTGCCATTACTATATATTTATCATTGCTTAATGCTCCACTTTTGTTTGAAGGAAAGATATATATTCTCTCATGGTTGTGGCCTGTTATCTATTTCTTGCATGAAGAGATATTTCTCGTATCACACTGCAAAGAGTGTGATACGAAAAAGTGATACAAAAACTGCATTAATTTGATTGGCTTATCCAGCATCATGAGACGATATTACGACAATTCCATTGGCTATTCGTTAGGTCTTTAATAACTTTCAAAGGTTAAGATGAAGTAAGTTTCATCCATGGCAACAGATTTATTTGATTTCTTCAATAATATACAAAACACTCACTTTTCACTTGGAAATCTTCTTTTTGACAAATTTTATTACATTCTGTAGTGAACAAAAAGTTTTAAAATGTCTGATGTTAAAGTTTGACGCCGGAACATAACATTTGACGTCATACTGATATGTGCAAAAGATTAGATTAACAATTTGCGGAATTTTTTATTTAACACAATGAGAGTGTTGACCAAAAGAGAAATAGATTTAACAACTCGTGAGAATTGGATATCACTTGATATCAACTCTCGTTATTTAAATTAAACAGTAATAGTTAACTCTCCAAAGGCTCGTTTATTATTATATTGAAATTATACAACTCGAGTTGATATCAAGCAATATCCAATTTTCACTCTTTATGAAACCTAAAAATATTTACTGCAAGCCATTTACTTCATGTTTGACAATGCAGATTATATTAATACATATTACTCAGCTTGTGTATTAATTAATGATTTTATATTTGGTCTTGAATTTTAAATGTTGAGTTGTACCATGTTAGAGATGTTCAGCTCTGTGGTGGTATGTCCAGTTTGACAACAATACTTTAAAAAAATTTATATTACCTACTGAGTATAAATTTTTGTCTTTGATGTCAAATAATGATTAGAGGTAGTTTTTGCATGACATATAAATGACTTTTTGTTGAAACTTTTGTCAGATATTTTCTAGTAGAATATGTCAATGTGATAGAAGAAAATTTCTGAATAAACTGTAGGCAATGGTATCTTGGGTTTTTATGCATTTTGAATTTGTTATCTGAAAGGTACAAATCAGTGTGTATTTACATGATTGCAATGAAGATTTTTTTTTCTTTTTAGCACACCTGGCCATTTGAGCCATGTTGCCATTACTTGGTGACAATGGTGTCTGTCATCACCAACTTTAAAAATAAATTTATTTTGAAACCACTGAATTAATTTCAACAAACTTAAAATAAATGATACTTAAGCAACCTTTCATAAAGTTTGTGTTTATTCTTCCTGCCAATGAACCAGCATGGCTGCCATGGCTGAAAATAAAACATAGGTGATATTCAGGAAATCTAATATGAAAATAAAACAGATGGAGAAAATCTAAAAGTGTCAATAAGATTCCCTACTTTTACTCCAAAATTATCAGAAAAACGTACTAATAGGATTTATTGTCCTTAAATGAAATTTTTTTAACAATTTTTGCATTTTAAGTGGGTTTTTCAAAGGAAATATCTGGTTAATAAAATAGTGAAGTATGGTGATGGCTGCCAACAGTTTCCATGCAATAACTTATGAACCCATCAACCAATGCGTTTCAAATTTCAATATGTTGTTACTGTTTTCCAAATTGAGGTCAAGTTTGATATTGATGATTTTTCACTTTCACCGTTGAGGAGTTATTTTCCTTGATGTATTGGAGTTTAGTCATGGTCTTTGATAGATTTGAAAATAACACTTTTTGTCTATTCTGTGCAATAACTTATGAACCATTCAACCAAGGCTTTTCAAATTTTGATATGTTGTTACTGATGACAAAATGGTGGTCAGGTATTTTTTGACGACTTTTACTGTTTAGGAGTTATGATCCTTGATAGATTGGAAAATAGGCAGAGAAATTGGGAGGTCAAACAAGCCTAAAAGCACTTTACATTAGAAAATATCAATTTCATTTGTACTAGCTGCCCTCTTAAGTTCAAAATAGTTTCCTTCAAAATACAGGAAAACCTGGCTTGCTGTCCATTTGACAGCTAATTTCTTGTTTCTAATTATCTTGAAATGAAGAAACTGTTTTCAGTGAAAATGATCACAGATGAGATCTACAAATTAGTCAATGTATCTAAAATTGTCAATAAACTTATCACTTAATTTAGGATTTTTGCAAATTTTTAGCATTTCTTGCAATTATCTTGAAAACCATAGTAGAGAGAGAGAAACTGTAACAGTAACAAAATCAGCAAATCAAAATCTAAAAATAAATCAAAATGATAAAAATTGTTGAATGACAAATTAAAGGACTTATTGTCATTAAATAAGTGTTAAAAGAGATGTTTTCTTAAAATGACAAGTTTTTGCTAGTTTTGTTTTGTTTTTGTATCTAAGTTTTTTATATTTATTTGAAAACAATAATAGAGAGAAAATATGGCAAAATTGTTCAAAGTATCACAATTTGCCTACTTCCCATATTCCTTAAAATCATCAGATGACTTCATAAAGGAGTTATTGCCATTAAGTTAAAAAAATAATTTTTGTGTTTGAGGCAAATATATTGATAACTATAATAGACAGAGAAAAAATGTAGAACATTAAAATTGATTCACAAAAAAAGATCCACAAATAAGTGGGTATGATAGAAATTTTCAAATGATTACTTTAAGGAGCTACTGCCCTTGAATTAAAAGTTTGTCCAATATTATGTATTTTTGGCTATTGTCTTAAAAACAATAATAAAAAGATGGAAACTGTTTAAAGCCAAAATACTCACCAAGATAATCATACCAAAAAATCCATGTATCCAAAATTGTCAGTTATCTTTAAAACCATAAATACTAGATAAAGAAATATTGTGGATTGTAATTAAGTTGGAATAAATACCAAAATATCAGGTGAACAATCAGACTCTTAGGAGTCTCTTGTTTCATTTTTAAATGGATTTTTAAACAAAAAGAAATTAAAATGTCCTTGTCTTATTGAAATGAAAGCATGAAGCATACATGGAAGATATATTTTATTTATATTCTACACTTTATTTTATATATAATATTTTTTTTATACAATGGTAGATAGTAATTGTACAATTCAGAAGTAATGTTATGTATTATTTTATGTTATTGATTATCATGATGTTTATATGAAATCCATCGTAACTATGTATTTAATCATAAGAAGGTTTATCTATGATGTTTTATGAGCTAAAATGTGAGTTTTGAACAAATTCAATGAAGTTTTGTGAGCTTGTAGGTGAGTTTTGTACAAGTTCAATGAAGTTTTGTGAGCTTATAGGTGAGTTTTGAAAAAATCAATGAAGTTTTGTGAGCTTATAGGTGAGTTTTGAACAATTTCATTTACTGAAAAAATATGATAATTGTACATGTCTTTAGTACACCAGTCTCATTAGATAATATGCCTCCTTAGTATGGTCTGTGCATGCTTATGCATTAAAAAGTTCATTTTGTATGTCAAAAAAATGTATCAAAAGAATCTCATCATTATAAAAAAAAACTGAAATCTTGCTACAAGACTTTAATATTAACTGACAACAGAGGACATACTTGTACATAAGGATTTTCAAAGGTAGTATGGGGGTATAAACAAAAATAAATAGATTGTTTTCATACTTTCCATGATGTAGTTTAGATCCTGGAATTCTAAACAAAAAATCCAGATAATAAAATGGTGAAGTGGGGTGGGTGGGTGGGCGTCTGCCAAAAGTTTCCATGCAATAACCTTTAACCAGTTCAACCAATGCTTTTAAAATTTTCATATGTTATTACTGATGACAAAGTGAAGGTCAAGTTTGATATTGACTATTTTTTATGTCCCCGCCGTAGCGGAGGGGGCATTAAGTTTTTTTACTATTGCTGTTTAGGAGTTACGGTCCTTGATAGATTGAAAAATTGCACTTTAGGTCTTGAAAGGCAAAATATAGAATTTGACAAGTCAAACAAGCCTGAAATCTCATACTTCAAGAATATATCAATTTCATTGGTACATGTACTAGTTGCCCTCAACAATGGTTACCTTCAAAATACAGAAAACTCTGTTTGCTGCCAATTTGAAAGCTCAATTTCTTTTAAAAAATATGATGTCATGGAGCTTGTTTTCAGGTTACAAGCTTTGAAAATAGACACTTTTAGTAAGGCCTATATAGGCTAAAAGCATTATTAAATAAATCAATAAAAAGAAAAACGATTAACAGAATTTTGAAATAAAATAGAAGAAGATAGCTCTTATAAAATGATTTTAGAAAATTAAAAGCAAAAATGTTGCCATTTCATTTTTTTTTCTTTCTATAATAGAAAACAGAAAAAAAATTATTGTACATTCCTTTTTAAAATTAGATCACAGGAATGTTCTCTCAAATTTTGAAAAGAATTAAGAATCAATTGAAAAAAATGAAAAAGAATTAAAAAAATTGTTTCTAAAACAATCAAAATAATAAGATAAAATCACATAATTTTCTTCCTTTAAATGAAATGTTACAAATGAATTGCATTCAAAGCCTCAAATTTGCTTGAATTATTGAAAATTTAGATGGACTGTTATTCTAATAATTGAGTATATAAGTTTGAAGAAGACCCCCTCACAAACTGACTCAGAGCATTAAGTTGTTATGTTGGATGCTAAACGCCTCAAACTAATTAACACATGAGCATAAAATAACAAGATCACATAACTGAGGTGAACTTCAAATTATGTTGTGTTTTTATTACTCAGGAACATTATTTTTTTCAAAGAAAAAATGTAACTTTACATAAAGATTTAATTTTAAATGATATTTATCTTGATATTGCTAGACAAAAATCTTAAAAAGGTTTTTAGAAGTTTTTCAAATGATTGCTAATAGATAAAGTTAAATACGAATATATTGTGTTTTAGAATTTTTATTATAATCATCTTCTTTACCAGTTTTAGGTTATTTAAAAAATTTTAATTACCTCGGCATAAAATGTACACATTTATTTTGTAAATAGCAGATTGTTTTATTTACATGAAGGAAATAATTTTATATATGTTGTAGTATAATTTGTCCTTTCTGTTTTGTTAATTTAAATATTTTTTTACACATTGTTATCTTATTTATTATTACCTTTGCTCTATTTAGTCTTTTAGAAGTTATTGTTACATTCACTTTACATCGTTAGAAAAAAATTATTTTTGTGTTAACAACATTACAGAGTAGAAGCAAAAGATCACTATTTTTTGTCCAACTCTATTAAAATTAAGATCAGTAGAAACAAATAAGACTACCATTAGCTTCAGTATGCCAAGGTAAAATTGGCCTTATTGATATCACATAGCAAAAGAAAATAGGTGTCTCTTCATATTCATATGGTAATGCAAATCTTATCTGCAACTTCTTTTTTTTCACCAATTAAGCAAACCTAAATATTAATAGAAAGAGAACTTTATCACAAAATTTGAACCACTCTTAAATAGGTGATGTTTCCAATGGTTTAATCTTGTATTTATATAAGGGTATGAATGTTGAAGAGTATTTTCATTGTCTACCTTTCCATTATATGTTATGTCACATTGACATTACGGTTAGTTATATACCTACTGTATTCGCCTGGAGATGGTCAACAGACATGAAAGTACTATATTATCAATAATCTGGTTGTGTTGGATTTATTTTAAGTGGGATTTATATATATATATATATAGAAGAATCACATATTAGGAAGAAAAATGTATCAATATATAAGCATTTGGTAACCAGTAAATCATATTAAAATTTCTGGCTGTGCGTGACCATTTAAAATAACAGCCTCATAGAAAAACAAGCTTTTTTGCCTTAAATTGTTTTACATATTGATTTTGATAGGAATGTTCAGTTTTATTATAGCTTTTTAAGTATCTGTTATATGACTACCATTCATACTTAAATAGAAGAGCCATGAATATATCATTTGAATGATACCCTGACTTATATAATGACCAGATTTACAGGTTTAAATGCAGGGCTAAGAGATTTCTTCTTAAGTCATAGAGAATCAGAATCATCGAATTTTGTAACAAAGATAACAAAAATATTATATCTTCTAACTGTCAAATTGTACAGACAATACACTGTTATGGAAGTCCTTTACACTTATATCTACATCACTGTTAAAAGTAAGGATATACAAGTAAAGAAGTATTCGTTTGTCATCAGAAATAGCATTTCTTTATAAAAACAAGAATAGAGAAATTTGAGCCAAAAAATGTTAAAGAATAGAGAGGAAGAGTGTGCTAAAATATAGAGATTACAAATTAATGGGCCAAATAAAGAATAGAGAAAAAATGCCTACTTAATTAAAGAACACAGCAATGAAGACATACAAACATTCATGTATATTTTAAAGATTTTGCATTGCATGAATTACAAAATATTGACTGCTAAAATATTGACAAAATATTCAAATCTAGATGAAAGATTTTCAAACAAAAAGAAATGGATGTGAAACAATAAGAGTCACTTGATTGATACATAATTATTATTTACTTAATTTAATGTCATTTTAAATTATATCAAAATTTCTATTTCAAACAGTTATATTCTTTGCATCGACAATTGACTTCCATGTCAGTCTGAATGAGTATATTAGATCTGTAGAGCTAATACAGGGAAGGAAACTCTTGAAATGTATATACCTAGGTATAATGATTTGAATTTGCAGTAAGAAATGTAAAAGCCTGCATTAAGAACTTTAGTTTTTAAATCTGCGAATATAAGATAAGACAAAGTGATTGTAGTCTGAACTTTTACATGTAATGCACCAGTTATATTGTCACTAATAAAATATTTATATACTTCACAAGTTTTGCAGCATTTATTTTGATCTTACAAAATGATGTTCTTTTCAAGGACCGAAATTCTGCGACTTGATTTGACCAAAATGAGTCCTTACACTCCTCTTCCAAGTTCCCCAATTTTAAACCAATATTTTCAACATGTAACTTAACTTGAATATGTAATTGATCCTTAAAACATGACGATTATATGGAGTATATATCTCTCAGTTGATATGATAATCAAGAGCTTCCAAGTGGGGAATTTTAAATCAATCCTTCGGAAATTGTACGGATGCCGTCACCAGTTGGTTGACTGTTAAGAAGTATCTGTTTCACAGATGACGACGGATATGTTCCCATTGTCGTAACCACAATCCCATCCTCGTTTTCCAGAATGCGACCTACCGAATTAGACTTATTACTGGGTTTGTACTTGCATGAGCAATACGAAGGGTGCCACATGTAGATAGTATCTGCATACCCTTCCGGAGCACCTGAGATCACCCCCCGGATTTTGGTAAGGTTCGTGATGCTCCATCTTTAGTTTTCTATGTTGTGTTTTGTGTATTGTTTGTCTCTTCGTCTTTTTTCCGTTTCTTTTGCCATGGCATTGGCAGTTTGTTTTCGACTTATGAGTTTAGATATACCCTTTGATATCGTTCGCCTCTCTTTTAGAAATATCTTTTGGCATGATACAGTGAATTGACAAAGATATTTATGCCATAATATATCCAATATCTCGTGGATCTTTATCTTTATTCTGCCTATTATCATTAATACCATTTTACCTATCGGTTTGTTTTATAAGCTTTTTTTATTTGTATGCAAACAGAACAGTCAAATATGAAGGTATACAATGTTAAGGGTTAAACTAGGTATATACAGTTAAATCGGGGACTCCCATACACAGGCCCGGAAGGCTTATGATGTTCGAGCTTACATTTCACTTTCAGGTAGATGGATTAAGTCGACAATTGTTCTATTGATGACGATCGATAGATGTGCTGTATCTGGAAAAAACTGTCTGTGCTATTGCTTGGTTTCTTGGTGTAATCTTTGATGGCAGACCAATTCTCCTTCGTATAAGATCTTATATATAGAATTATGAGCCAGGCTTTTTCTGTGTGTTCCAATTTCTGTAAGGTGCTATATCCCATGTATAGGTTGATGTTACCATGGAAGTATTATATTGACAATATAATACTTCCATGATGTCAATATAATACTTCCATGATGTTACAAAGCGGAAAGTTCTAAGTTGTCCATTTTGATTTTGTTAATATGACACCCTCTGTATGTGATCACTTAGTGGTGAACCCATACTTGAGGTGTGTTGATAAGTATGCACTCTCTTTTATAACTTGGGAGATATTTGTTTAAGTTCCTCCTTCGAAATTCTAGTGTTATGTTAGCTTTTGCGTTGCCTTGAATATATGGAAGTCACAATGCATTTCCTCTGACAATTTTAAACCGAGATAAAGGAAGAGCTGAACAGTTTTCATGTTGTAGTTGTAGACAACAGGTATGTGTTTTTGTCGCAGAAAGCTCGACATAGGGATAGTGATCCGGCGGCGGCGGCGACGGCGTTAGCTAACTTCTTAAAAGCTTTATATTTTAGAAGGTGGAAGATCTGGATGCTTCATACTTTATATATGGATGCCTCATGTTACGACGTTTCCGTCAGTCACATGTCCAATGTCCTTGACCTCATTTTCATGGTTCAGTGACTACTTGAAAAAAAAGTTAAGATTTTTTGTAATGTTAAATTTTCTCTTATTATAAGTAATAGGATAACTATATTTAGTGTGTGCGTACCTCATGCCCGTCAGACAGTTTTCACTTGACCTCGACCTCATTTCATGGATCAGTGAACAAGGTTAAGTTTTGGTGGTCAAGTCCATATCTCAGATACTATAAGCAATAGGTCTAGTATATTCGGTGTATGGGAGGACTGTAAGGTGTACATGTCCAACTGGCAGGTGTCATCTGACCTTGACCTCATTTTCATGGTTCAGTGGTTATAGTTAAGTTTTTTGTTTTGGTCTGTTTTTTTTATACTGTATGCAATAGGTCTACTATATTTGGTGTATGGAATGATTGTAAGGTGTACATGTCTAGCTGGCAGGTGTCATCTGACCTTGACCTCATTTTCATGGTTCAGTGGTCAAAGTTAAGTTTTTGAGTTTTGGTCTTTTTTTCTAATACTATATGCAATAGTTCAACTATATTTGGTGTATGGAAATATTTTATGATCTATATGTCAGTCAAGCAGGTTTTATTTGACCTTGACCTCATTTTCAAGGTTCATTGCTCAGTGTTAAGTTTTTGTGTTTTGGTCTGTTTTTCTTAAACTATAAGCAATAGGTCAACTATATTTGTTGTATGGAAGAATTGTTAGCTGTACATGCCTACCTAGCATGGTTCATCTGACCTTGACCTCATTTTCATGGTTCATTGGTCAATGTTTAGTTTACTTGGTTAATGTTAAGTTAATGTGACAGTTGTAATAAAGCTTTATATTTAGGACTATCAACATAATATCAATGATTAGTAAAGAAGGCGAGACATTTCAGCGTGTGCACTCTTGTTCGTATTCATAAAGGTTAAGCATTTTACCAAATGGACGATCATCTGCCAGCTGCTTGTCTTTTCTTCATTGATACATGAACACATCAAAAAGTATGTCACGAATCGTCAAAAATACCAGTCCAACACCAACATTCTACTCTTCCTGAAAAAAACAGACATTCAAACAAAGACAAACAACACCTGTTTAAGTACAAGCACACGTTTGTCACTTGAACAAAAACCTCGCCCTTTATCCATGAAGACCATACACGTATGTCGTAAAACAAAAGAACTGCACATTGCAGCTACCAAGTTATGCAAGATCGGACCAGTTGTGGTTGGCTGTGTATAGGAGGGAGTAGTGAACAAATAGTCGACGTGTACTTGTAAATTATGAATTCACATGGCATTTGTCGTTGAACCAGAAGGGCGCATGAACCATCTCTTGGTGGTACAGTAGAACTTGCTTTTTTCAATCGACTCTTTCATATCGCCAACTACCCATGATGGTTGATTTCTTTCGATTAGCAAAGCGGTGATTCAGCTAAATAAATAGCCTTGGATACCATAATAACTAATCTGTGGAACCCATTGATGTTTGACTGCCGAATGCCATTTCAACTTGATCTTTTAAATCCAGTGATCGGGCGACGGTTTCTATATAGTGATCGCCAGTTGTCCTAAGCTTCTAAACGAACGATGTTTCCTAAGGCCATGTTGATAAAATAAAATTGAAAATGGAAATGGGGAATGTGTCAAAGAGACAACAACCCGACCATAGTACAGACAACAGCAGAAGGTCACCAACAGGTCTTCAATGCAGCGATAAATTCCCGCACCCGGAGGCGTCCTTCAGCTGGCCCCTAAACAAATATATATACTAGTTCAGTGATAATGAACGCCATACTAAACTCCAAATTGTACACAAGAAACTAAAATTAAAAATAATACAAGACTAACAAAGGCTAGACGCTCCTGACTTGGGACAGGCGCAAAAATGCGGCGGGGTTAAACATGTTTATGAGATCTCAACCCTCCCCCTATACCTCTAGCCAATGTAGAAAAGTAAACGCATAACAATACGCACATTAAAATTCAGTTCAAGAGAAGTCCGAGTCTGATGTCAGAAGATGTAACCAAAGAAAATAAACAAAATGACAATAATACATAAATAACAACAGACTACTAGCAGTTAACTGACATGCCAGCTCCAGACTTCAATTAAACTGATTGAAAGATTATGTCTTCATCATATGAATATCAGGCACAATCCTTCCCGTTAGGGGTTTAGTATCATACCATCATAACATATATGAGAAGAACATAACCCGTGTCATGCCAACAACTGGTTTTTAAATAAATGTGTTTAGTGCCGATGCAAAGACCCTATAAGTGAATCAATATTAACGCCAAAATATGCAATCTTTAATGACCTGACAACAGTATCGTAACTATATCCCTTCTTAATAAGTCTATTTAAAGGTTTTTTTAGCTTCAGAGGTGAATACTGACATTTTTGTACTTTATAAAGAATATTTCCATAAAAAATTGGATGTGAAATACCTGAACGTATAAGAAGTCTGCATGTTGAGCTATATTTACGAATGATGTCCTTATACCGATGATAAAATTTAGTAAATGTTTTGACTAGTTTGTGATATCGAAAACCCTAGTGTAATAATTTTTCCGTAATACATAAATTTCTCTCGTTAAAATCTAAAACATTGTTACATACACGAGCGAATCGTACAAGTTGAGATATATAAACACCGTAAGATGGTGACAAGGGAACGTCACCATCTAAAAATGGATAATTAACGATAGGAAATGAAAAATCATCTCTTTTATCATATATTTTAGTATTAAGCTTTCCATTAATGATATAGATATCAAGATCGAGGAAAGGGCAGTGGTCATTGTTAGTATTAGCTTTATTTAAAGTAAGTTCAACAGGATAAATTTCTTTAGTATACATACTGAAGTCGTCATTATTGAGAGCCAAAATATCATCCAAATATCTAAAAGTATTATTAAATTTGTGTACCAGATGTTGTTTCGATGGGTCTTTGCTGATTTTTGTCATAAATTGTAACTCATAGCAATACAAAAAATGATCCGCAATAAGTGGTGCACAGTTAGTCCCCATTGGAATTCCGATAACCTGACGATATACGGAATCTCCAAAGCGAACAAAAATGTTATCTAGTAAAAATTCAAGGGCATATATAGTATCAAAGCATGTCCAATTGACATAGTTTTTTTGTTTATTGCTACTAAAAAATGACCTAAAAGAGTTTGAACATATATATTCACATTCTGACTTTTTAAATGCCCATTTAATTAGGTGTGTGAATTTTTTCTTAATGAGAATGTGAGGCAATGTGGTATATAGGGTAGAAAAATCAAAACTTTGAACAGATTCAAAATCACCAATATATGCATGTAATTTATCAAGTAC